CACCGGTATCGAGTATCACATCTGAGTTTTTGGAACTAGAGTAGTATAAATCAAATTGTTCTTCTAAGATCCATGCACCCTCATTTGATGAGCCTTCATTGTCTCTTTCTTTCCTCTTTTTATTATACGCTTCTTTGCGTCTCATCACACTTGCAGCCTTAGAAGGATTTTTGGCAGCCCACTTTGTACCATCAGGAGTCTCGATCCAATCAAAACAGTTTTCACGGACGTGATTGGCGCGCTTGCAGTGAGCACAATATCTTATTGCCCTGGTAGTGTTATTTCTAACTCCTTGGTTTATGTGTGCTACGGTCGCCGCTTCATGTTGTCTATTAAAGCTTGATTGCGTCTCCCTCAAAGTGTTAACCGTCTGACTAAAAGAGATTGATGCGTCTAATCGTAGATAAGCAACAACACCACCATAGTATCCGTTACATTCTGTTTCGAAATGTCGTAATAGGCGATTCTTTTTTGTCATATCGGAGGGACGTTTTAATGGATCAAGTGACGCTATTTGAGATTGCTTTTGGGTGAGTTCATTTGCATACTCATCAACATCTGTCCCTTCGGTCATTGAGAAACTCCAAAAATCTTCTAGGATGGTGTCCACCACTGCCTCACTTTGTGGCTGATAGTATAATTTCAGCGATATCCACATCTTACGTGCCGTAGGCAAGCTTTCTAGAATATAGTAAACCTCTTCGGGCACAATTTGGAGTAGGGCCGCTCGAATGTTATTGTCAGTTGTTTTTGCTGATTTTTGAGGAGTTCTTGTTGTCTTCAGATCATTTTCATCATTTAACTCGGACAAATCTTCAGAGACATACTTCTCAAGGTTAAGGCCGTACAAGCACATCGTGAATAACCTGCTCCATCTGGCATACGTTGATTTGCTCAGGACAGGTGCGTTTTTGATGCCTTTTAATATTTCGGCAGTCGACATAATTGAAAACTAACTGGTTACGGCTCCAGTTTTGGCTAGGTGGGATGAACAGGACTGGTGTTCAAGCTGTACGACACAAGTGGTACGGATGCTATCTTTGTCGACTCGGAAGATTACTAATTTAAATCAATGTTGTCTCAGCTGGTCAGAGTTTGGTCTCATAATCTGTTGAGATGAAATAATTATTGATCTATTAATTAGAGTAAAATTGCATAAGGAAAACTATAACGAACTATTACTATCTTATATACATAATTAGCAGTCCACGAGTGATCTAGTTCTTCAACGACGGTGCAAGTGTCCTCTACTGGTACCCTGGTAGAAGTGAGTGATCTGTCTTCCTGCCTCCCGTTTAATGGCGGAAGGTCAGCATCATGTGACTGACATCTCTTTCAACCTAACACCACACAAATGTTCTACCTAGCTGGTAAACACTAACAGCCAGGTAAATGTATGACTCATTTGCTATTTAGCTTATACTAACATTGTATATTCTAGGTTTCAACAAGGTATTCTTTTCAGGCAGATCATGTGACCTGCTTGGAAGATTACAAAACCACCTCTGACACAAGGTCCTAAAGCTGATTCTAGGCGGCTGCCATCAGAATATACAACTAAGTCTTGTGAGGGGGTCCCCTCAGGAAGTTAATATGAGGAAGCAGTGACCTGTCTAGTCCTTGAGAACCATCTCTCCTTTGCTAACCAAGGGGGGTTGATCAGAGGGTCCAAATACTCTGTAGGCGGAAGGCACAGGGCCAACCCAGAAAGGCGTGAGACACGTCTTTGTTGGCTAAGGATCCAAATGTTCCGGCGGCGGAGGGGGTGCCGTGGATCGAGGCGGTGTATGCAGAGGAATGCTTGATAAAGTTTTGAGTCTAGCGCGATTTCTTGAGGGGAGATTGTTGTGCTCAGCTAAGGTAGCCCTGGCAGGTAGCGCATGGAGGGTGAGTGTGTCATCAAGGTACCTCAGGCATGGACAACTCACATGACATGTTTGGCGCATTTGTTCAGGCAAGGCACACTGCATGAGTAAGCATGATGGGCATCTGATTCGCTGGTAAGCGAGTCCATGGGGTATAAAAGGGAAGTATTTCCCACTGTAAATTAGAACATATATCTATAGAGTCATCTACAATTCACTCTCAATAAAACATCATATCTTAGCCGTCAAGCGCAAGTGTATATTCCCCATTTCATATACTAAGTAAAACAGGAAGCAGGTGTTCCTGACTTATATTGTGATGTGACGCCTCCTTCTATATTCCAAGGGTTGTGATCCATTTTGTTAAAGATTCTGAGTTCAAATTTAAAATTGGTCAAGTTGGGTATAAATTTTTTCATAAGCTAACCTGAGGAGTATTTCTAAAAACGGGAGATGGATATTATGCACTATGGAAATAATAGTTGTTTATGACCTGGTAGACAATATGTCACTGTAGGGAATGAGGTGGATGGTGACCGACAATGTCTGATCTGGTGAATTAGATTGTCTACAAAGAGGAAAGAATCTAGTACTATGAAACTAATAATTATTTACAGATGCGTTAGCGTGCATTTAGACATGTCTATATATCATGTGACTGCTTTGCCTGAACGCCTTGTTTCCTTGACATAAGACATCCCATATCCTGTTGTTGGCAAGCATATCTTGGAATTGGCCAGTGATCATATCTTTGGCAGTTCCAGTCACTGCATGGCTGTATAGCTGCATGAAAAAATCCGATGGTTCGAGTATGTTGTGCTCCTCTACATTGTGCCAATATATGTACTGAAGAATTCCGTGTGTGGTAGCCCACTTAGATCTATCATTGTGATTGTAAGCTTCTGTCACGGTTCGAGTGTCAATGCGGGAGCAATCAGATATACCAAGGTAGTTTATTATTTTCTTTGTGGCTAACTATCAGAGTATTACTTCAACTATTTATACATTTATGAAGATCTCTAGAATACTCGTTCTTGGCTGATATCTGCTTCTCGTATATTCCAGTCATAGTAGTTCCCAGTCTTGCTACCAATTACTAGAATATTCCAGTTACAGCTGAACTGATCTGGAATAAAGCTAGACTACTGTAGAATTATAGAAGCACATGAATACAATCACGTGCCACACAGTAATCGGCTCACAAGCTGTTACAGCTGTTGGCCATTTCAATTGGTTTTTCTTTGCCTAATTTCTCCCTTTGTTCTGATGGACGACCAGATTAGGTCTCACTGGCTTCAGGGGTACCTGGTCATTGTTCTGCGACTGTTTCTGCATGGTTGACATCATTTGGTTCATTTGTGCTTGTAACATTGCCATATCCCTCCTGTGTTCTGTATCCCTTCGTCTTATTTCTTCAATCATTTTTGCATGTCTGCCTGCGTTTCTTCATGTTGCATTGACTCCTGGCTTGACATATCAGTTGCAATGTAGCCCGTTCCAATTTCAAGATTGTCTATATTGGGACCCCTTATTGATTCTTCGAATCCCTGTGCTGATTTGAAAGATAATTCACTTAGGCAACTCAATTTTCCAGAGCTAATTATCCCGTCCGTTGATGTTGATGGAGTAGCAAATGTTGGCATCCAGTTCCTTGGCAGCCCTAAGTCAATTAAGCTGCTAACTGTTCTATTCTGATAAATTGAAAATTTCCCAAAGTCACAATAATCTAATGATGCAATAAATTTAATAACAGGCAATAAATGTAATGTTAGAGTTTATACTGTGATAGAAACCGAGTTAGTGATAAAAAAAATCGATTTAATAAACTTTATGAAGAAGAGAAATCTAACTAAAGCTATAAGGTACTTATAACATTCAGTCCACTCTATGAGTCTTGTTGCTTATACCTTTTCCTTAGGTCGAATAATTACCGCACAGCTACAATTGCCCATATTCACTGTACTATGACATTGCTTCGATCCCAACAGTCTTATAATTAGAGTTCTCAACAATGCGCTTAGGTATTCACCTAAGCTTAAACAACAGGTAAACTGTAACACAACAAATACACCATTATTCACATTTGGGATGCACTTGTTGGATACTGTTATTAGCATCTTTTAACATAACCTATAAAATCCTTTCTCAAAAGGTGAAGTTATCTTACCCTAACTCGGTATGTATAAATCTAAAATACAAAAGTTACTCATGTTCCAAGTGTAGAGTGTTCCCCCATAAATCAACCCATTTAGCGTCGCTCGCTTATTAGGGCTAACATAGGACATGCAAGGATTAAGGTTTACACAATTATTATTTCCCTTGCACTTTTACATAACCTAATTAAAGCTGTTTGGAATAAGATGAAGGATTACATCCAGCGTCATCATGCGAATCTTGGTGTTAGAAAGCAGCATAATCCAGATTGTCTTCGCAATATTGTAATGGAGGCATGAGATTCCGTGTCTCCCGAAGATCTTGTGAGACTCATTGCAAGTATGCCAGCAAGATGTCAGGCTGTGATAGATGCAGATGGAAGACCAACTATATAATAAATCCTGAAAATATTCCAGCCACATGTTCAGATCCAAGGTTAAGATAAGACTGGGGTTCTATTTTGTAATTTGAAAAGCTTTGAGCTCTTGCAAATAAGTTATAAAGTCAAGTCGCAAAAGTGCACAAATTTTACGCAGCCGATCATTATACTTATTAGGATTAACACAAAGGAAAGACCCACTGCAAAGTATGGTGTCTAGAATTAGATTGCCATACAAATTTTTTCGAAGTTTTGCATAAATAAGGGGGCTAACCTTAATATGGAAGGCAACTATGCTCAAACAGTCTTGGTTAGCACGCTAAATTCCCTGCATAATCCCCACTTCAAACTTGACACCGTGGCAACATAGTAATTACAAATACATCTGGCAGGCCAGGCACTAATTATCTGAGATTGCGGGATCCAGAGCCTTCAGGATTTTCAAATTTCATAGGTCAGACAAATTTTTAACTAAGAATGGCAAGAAGAGATCAACTCGTGAATGACATCAATGTTGCTCCATATCAAAACATTATTTAACCAGATTCCTTGCACTTCACAATCACCACTTCTGCCAAAAACCAACTTGATCATCAGCAAATATGAAAACCCTATATTATATATGCAATTACCAGTCACTCTGGCAAAAAGTTGTGTTCCTCATGTTATTAATCTCAGCTGAAGCGTTAAGGACTCTACATGGAAGGAACGAATCAAACAAGCCTGGATATAACTGTATTCATAAAAAATATCTATTAGAAGAAGTTGAAGCAGCTCGTGAAGCAGCTTGTACAGGATTCATATCAAAAAGGATTCTGGCAAGACGTCCACTTGTTTATTATGAAGACATTGATGTCAACAATATGATATTTGGATGGAGTCTTCCTCTATCTCTACAAAAAGGTCCTAACGGTAATGGTTTTGAAATATTTTCCCTTCAAAGGTTTATTCTACTTTGCTGCTCTATTTTGCTAAGTCTGATCATAGGTAAATTAAGAAAATTTCCAGACAAAATCATATTTGACAATAGATGTGAATTGAAAGATGTTCTTTACTACAATACTAAATCACATACATATGATTCTTGCCACAAAGTACCTGATGATGTGCTAAACACGTCTTCCGAGAAGAATCAAGCCCTCAAGAAGCCTTTCTTTCAATGTGGATCAATATCATGGGAGCACGAAGATATTAAACAGTGGACTACTCAAAGCTTACCCAAATCCCTTAATAGGTTAGTTGAAATGGAGCACACATCTAATAAAGTTAATGGTCCATGGAAAAAAGCTATTTTAAAGAAAGAAATAATCAGAAGAAATTTTAGTAAGGTTTCGAATCTGTGAGCGCAAAGATACTAAGACCTTTTCAAAGTGCAAAATATACCTTACGAAATTATACTAAATAAACAAAATGAGGTTATTGGCGTGATTGTAACACATCATATAAGCCGAGTATCGACAGTATCCCCTTATTTTATTAAAGATATGATTTATATGTCCACACGAAAAAAGAGCCGCGGAAAACAAACAATCTGTCTTGAATGCCACTTGGATACAAAGTCTTCACTAGTTCCTCAAAATCAAGAATCCGGTCCGACAAACTCACGTAAGCGCAAGAAGCAAGCACAGCTAAGCTCCAGGAAAGAAAGAAGCAATACGGACTCGGGCCATTAGGATATACAATGGTAGAAATACCATTGTTGACCAAAACTTTTCGATGCTAGATAAAGATTTGAACAGCAGTCTCAAAGAGCTGCTAGAATACTTTGCATATCAAAGTAATACCTTCAAGATCACAACTACTTGGTTGGGATAGGTCGACTCATTACCAGAAGATAGTGAATCTTTACAAGGTGGCACTCACCAAAATTATCCAACAGCATAGTATCTATAGCACTGGTCTGTAATGTAGAAGCAATTTATTGTCATTACACTTGGATATTAAGGAGTAAGGGGTTAAGGGTCCGGAAATATTTCCCTGAATAAAATCAACATAGTGTTGGGACTTGATTTGAACAAGGATATTGCGAGAAAATTGGAGAGATCTTTGTATGAATTTCACGTGAATCTTCAAAAGATGAAAGCAAATACAAGAATGAATTGATTGTTGTTCTCCGTGCTACAAGTTCATTGTTGCACTATAATATCTAATTTTAACCTATTGACGCCACTGATCATCATTACTTGTCTGACATGGCTGCATGCAGATTGTGCTTTCGCTTTTGGACTTGATCCAGACTTATGCTTTCATAAGTCTGCTTACAGATTCTATGCAATTTGCTACTCTGATGTCAAAAAGCACTGAAACGTGTTGTGTTTTGCATGCAACCTACCATGATACATGCTTTAGGTGACGTCATATTAGATACACTTCACTGTGGAACTAAACTGTGGGGTGTTTAGTGTGTAATGCTTGTGTGGGTATTATGGACCAAACTAGAACTCAATAGATTTGTTGAGATGAAATAATTATTGATCTATTAATTAGAGTAAAATTGCATAAGGAAAACTATAACGAACTATTACTATCTTATATACATAATTAGCAGTCCACGAGTGATCTAGTTCTTCAACGACGGTGCAAGTGTCCTCTACTGGTACCCTGGTAGAAGTGAGTGATCTGTCTTCCTGCCTCCCGTTTAATGGCGGAAGGTCAGCATCATGTGACTGACATCTCTTTCAACCTAACACCACACAAATGTTCTACCTAGCTGGTAAACACTAACAGCCAGGTAAATGTATGACTCATTTGCTATTTAGCTTATACTAACATTGTATATTCTAGGTTTCAACAAGATTAGAGATAATGGAATCATTGAGAGACTGATGAACTGAGGGAGAACGAGATGGAAATTTCACTTAAGAAATGATATTGCAAGGGATAGTTCTAGCTCTACGCTGTGAACAACACAGTAAGTCTGGAGCAAGATATAAGAAAGTTTCAATCTCCGCTCATCCTTTGTAACCAAGTTTCCTTTATGCGAGAATATATATTCAAGTCTTACATATCACGAGAATACACGCAATAGAGATTAACGAGACCTACTGTGAGCATAACTTCCCCAAGAGTATCCATTGTCCTGCCCCTATATAGCCAAGTAAATATTACAAAACGAAATTTGAAGTACAAGGTATCTAATTCTACTCGAATATCATTGAGAGCGGGGATATTAATTTTAATTATCATAGTTTTGTAAGGGCCGTAAGATAGATGTAATTCACGAACTATCTAGATCTAGGTACAAAAGGGAATCTTTAACTGGAGAGAAAATTGACTGGGGGAACGCACTATATGAATGATCTAGCTTTATGACAAGGTTTCAAGTTATGAAAGTAAAGTGAATAATATGAAGGACAGGATGTGGGGGATATCTGTCAAGGAAAGAAGCTTAGATAATATCACATGAGATTGTCTATTTGGACAAGTGTACTGCTTTATATATGTTTTAGTTTTGTATCTATAAGGATTCTTTCTCTCTTTGTAGACAATCTAATCCACCAGATCTGATATTGTCGATCAACCTCCCATTCCCGTGACAATATCTCTTGCCCAGGTGCTTAGCTGCTCGGCTTCTCTGCAATCCGCTCGAGATAGCTCTATCACCACTTAACCATCCGACCATTCAACCATTATGATGCAGGATATCTGGGTCTCCCATCATCCTTCAGCCCTATCTCATTTAAATCCTTCAATATTCAGAAACCTTAGGCTTGTGCCTGAGTTGTGCTAGGCTCTAGCTTATGACATGTTCAGCCAGAACAATCTGACAAAAATCTATACAATTGCTTCTAAGCATGATATTCTGACAAGTCTAGTTGGAAATTTTTCGGATTAGGTCATGGTCAACAATGTCTAGCCTAATTGTGCTATGTTGCAGGCTACTGTTCCAATTATTCATGGGGTCATCATCAGGGTTGTGAGTAGTTTTGGTTTTGGTGTGGGTTGGTAGATTGATACCTGAGCGTGTCGCATAGTAGTCAGACATGCGACTCGAGTAGCATATGCACGGTAAACCTCAACCCTAAACAGATTATACGAATCAGGTTTTACATGCTATGTCCTGTATGGCTAGCGTATTTGGAATATGGGGAGTTTACCTGTAAATAGATAAAGACGTTGTAGCCCTCTGATAGTTGGGAAAAAGTCTTCTACAATATTATATTGGAATCAATACAAGCCTCTCATTAGGCAATCTCATGAATTATTTCCAATGTCTGTGATAACAGATGTACATATACAAAGTCGACAATCAAATTTAAAGTCAATGAATTTGTTAGTAGATCACCTGATGCATTTAGGGAGGTATGTCATCTTTAAAAATTGAGCCATAAGTGATGGAATTCACCCTCCTGTGGCCTCTATGCAAGCGCTTAAGATTCTTTACATACCTTAGATAGCCAAGAAAAATTGCACCCAAATTGAAATCGAAAGCTATCATAAGCATATCTATCAACAACCATCATTGTTGTTTGCCCTATCATTCTCACACGAGGCCTTCACTCAATTTAACCACATATCACTTCACATCAACAAGCGATGAGGTAGTTGCTCTAGCTGCAAACGGAACCTTGCCTGACCAATCCTTGCCATCTCTCATAACGAATTAAAATTCAAAGCTCAACCTCAAAGATGAAATTAAGTCCTTAGTCTGGAAGATAAAGTCATAATTTATGAGAGATTGCTGTTTAAATTATTTCTGGTATTCGAGAGAGAATAGGAAGACAAGATGTGGAACAAGGAAAGGAAGAGTTCATTAACGTATTTATTAGGACAAACCTTTTTCAAGGATTCAGAGATTAGTGCCTTTGTGGGCGCTGATGCTACAGCTTCGCATAATTAGCTAGGAGTGTTGAAATTTAGATAACTGTACATACAAAGGTCATACTGTAGGAATACTCTTGTGTCACAGTTAGAATATAGAAAGCAAATGGGTATTTGTATGATTGAAAGGTGTCACAGATCAACTATAGAAAGCAAGGAGCATTTATATGGATGATAGTATTTTATAATTCAACTATGAAGACCTAAGTTCTACATACTAATCCAGGTATATATACAGATTTATTACATTCTAAGTTCTTCCCTCCATGGTCAGCTCATTTCTAGATGATTCCAGTTGCTACTCTAAGGGTATCATTTCTAGCAGCTTCTCCGAGGTTCAGTATCAGTCTTGCTCACATGGAGACTTTTCTAGTCCCTTCTTAGGAGATTCAAGTATCTTTTACGTGGCTTTTGCGCCTGCCCGTTCTCCGGTGGTTGTACGCCAGTACTTGCCAGTACTGGCTACAGGAAATATCGGCTTTGTAGCCGTTATAGTAAGCCATTCAGATTCATAATGTTGGATGTAATCTGAAATTGGGGTAGACGGGCCGTAGGAATTAATGAGGTTGATTAATTTTCGCATTTGCGAGACTAGAGCAAATGCTGTATCCCTATAGAATTGTTGCTGGAGATAAATCCACATGACATGTGGGTCTTGGAGCTCGATAATCTGTTCGATGAGCTTTGGGGATACAGCCTCTAGGTAAACTGTGAGGGCATGATTTTTTAATGACTCGAATGCCTTCAACTCATCTGCGGACGAATTCTTTTCGGGTTTCTTTCCTTCAACAACTAGTTCATATACATTCAGGGCTTGCCAAACAATTGTCATGGTTCAGGCCCACACATTGTAATTATCTTGGCCTGAAAGTTTGGTGATATCAGATAGCTTTACCATCCTAGTGGTATCATTGTTTATCTGTTGTAAGAAAAAGGAGCTGGAAGAAGCCATTTTTTGGATTTGAAGTCTTACTGATTAACTGAGGGCACCGGGCTCATATCCTGTTGAAGTTATGAACTTGAGCGAAGATGGAGGTTATAGCAGAATCAGTGTCGGCGGTTAGACCAATGCAGTAAGTCTCGTATGAGGTTGTGAGAGGGAGATCCGAGTGGAAACTATTGTATTTAGATGTGTGGTTCAGAGTAAAAACCGAGATAATAAGAGTGAGATTGCGTGTTCGCATTTCTTATCAACTGTGGTTTTTGACCAGTATTTATCAATCTCCATGGATCGTAAGTTATGATCCATGTAGATGTAGATCTATGTACATACACATATATGGGCCAGGAATATAAAGCTAAATACATGTGTGTCAGTAATAGATACGAGAAAACTATAACCTGCATTTAAGACATAATCATCTGCTGGAATTCTAGTGTGAAATAAACGCTAATGCGCATTAAACTTTCGGTGAAGGATGTTTTCATGGATAAACATGGCGGAAACTAGGATGGTGTCTCATGGGGAGTTCCATTCTAAAACACAACTCGGGGTTAGATCAAGTTCTCAAACAATTAGGACAGGCTCAGGAACATAGGGTCATTTCATAGGGATTGCGTAGTAATACTGTTCGAGACAGAGCTTAGGGCTGTCCTATTATCTGATGTACATATATACCCAGCGTGAAGGAGTACTCTTCTCCACGCAACGTCTTCTGTTTATACTCATACCTATTGTTCACTTACTTATCTCTTCTCTAAAGAAGAACGCCGTTATTGTACCCTTCTCACCTACTACTTATTTTACCTTTACTTCTTACGTGAACCCTATACCTAACGCTGAATTTATACCTCCTACTCTTGGGAATCACCGCCATACTCCACACCTGTAACCCACTTGTACCAAATTCGT